ATGCGACCCGATATAACATGAATTCGGCTATAACGTGGTAAAGCAGTGCTCTGGGGGGGAGTGGGGGGCTGCACGCTTTGGCGGATCAAAGCAAGTTCGATATAACGTGGTTTCACCTATAACGCGGTAAGATTCTTTGGCTCCCGAGGACAGTGTTATATCGAGGTAGAGGTGTATTATTCCTGGGTATATTAATAGGAGTGTCATACGTCACAGCTTGTAATTGTAATTGTCCCACTCTCCTTGGCACTGGGGAGACTTCAGCTGGAGTAGTATGTTCAGCTTTAGGCACCACACTTTAAGAAAGATGTGCACAGATTGGAGAGAGTCCAGAGGAGAGCAACAAAAATGATAAAAGCTGTAGAAAACCTGACCTCTGAGGAAAGGTTAAAAAAACTGGGCCTGTTTAGTCTGAGAAAAGAAGACTGACGGGGGACCTGAGGCTGGCAGTCAATTGTTCTCTATGTCCAGTGAAGGTAGGACAAGAAATAATTGGCTTAATCTGCAGCAAGGGAGATTTAGGTTAGATAGATATAAGGATTGTTAAGTACTGGAATAGGCTTCCAAGAGGGGAGGTTGAGGAATCCCTAGAATTGGAGATTTTTAAGAACAGGTTGGACAAACACCTGTCAGGGGTGGTGTAGGTAGGTATATTTGGTTCTGCCTCAGTGCCAGGGGCTGGACTAGATGATCTCTGTGTCTCTTCCAGGCCTACATTTCTCTGATTTTTAAAGAGATGCCATTGTTTTAAATTTCTCTTCCAATTTTTATTTTGTGTTAACAAGCTTTCATAACATCTAAAACAAACAAAACAGAAAAATTGCCATCAATTTATTTTTCTTAAATCCCCAAGGAAACAATATTTCAAACATAATTTTCGGCATTATTTTCAATACAAACAATACAGCATTTTGCTAGTGTATGAGAACCTAAGTGAAAGTGACTAGAAACTGCCTAGTGTATTTTTATTTTCCAAGCAGTGAAAAATGAATCAATTTTGATGGGAGTTAAGTGCCTAGACAGTGTTGAAAATCCCTCTCGGTGCCTGTCTGCATCTTTAAGTGTTGAAATACTTTTAAACTCTTTCCCTGGATCTCTCCGTGCCTGAGTAAAATGGGAATGGTAGCACTTCTCTACCTCGCAGTGGTAATGTGAGAATAAATACATTAATTATCAGGTGCCCAAGCACTCTGGTAATGGGGGCCAAATAGGTATCTTAGATAGATACAAATAATAAATAAGTGAAACAGCCTTCACCAAAATCAGAGGGCTATGGGTAGACCTCATGGGCTAATGTTTTAATGGGCAGGGGAGAGAGACTCCAACCCCAAAATAGAAATCTACATTTTCCCAGTGCCTCTTAAGAACATTTTTAGAAGCATAAATTGCCTGAAATAACTGCCAATAATATGTTTTCTGTTTTCGGGCCATGGAGCTGAGGGAACCAGTTTTAATATCTACATCATCTCCTTCCTCCTGGGACTGAAGCTGGTTACCATAGCAAAACCGCAAGGAAACTGATAAGCAAGTGCAGTAGTACCATTTGGCAAACAGGATATAAATTCATTTGCATTAAGAAGACAGAGGGCTATGGAAAAATTAATGAGACAGAAAATCTTTAATTTTGCCTTAATTTATTTTTAAAACACCTGTGAACAAAGTGATTTTAATCAAATACCAAGTAAAGTATTCTTCCCCACACACCATCCCCTTGTCCTCCCCCACACCATCCCCCACATTATTTTAGGAACATCAGATGAACTGTGAGGCCCAAGAGAAATATTTCCAAAGCAAAACGCTGAATGTTGCTTTGAGTAGCAAGAGCTGAGCTTTAAATCTTTGCAGAGGCTTGATACTCTCAACATTATATTGTATATTTCTCTTTTTGTTCAAGCCATGTAATATTACTGTGTAAATCAGCTTTCATTTAGGAGAGTAAATACCGGCTTACATCCATTGCTGGTGAATGTTCATTGCAGTGTAACTTATGTCAGTCTTGTAGAGTGTGATTTTCTGAGCCTCTTTTGTAAATCAGTCTCTGCAGTCCCATGGGTTTGTCTACTCTGAAATGAAGTTAATGAGACCTCTGAAAATCACGTTACTACTTTCAATACCATATCTATTTTGATAATGTTGAACTGATGATGTTTGTTGAACCCATGGATATCATCTGTCTCCATGCACACCTGGATGGTGTGCCATGAATGAGGCAACTGAGCTATTTAAGTGACCAGTGCTGCAATTATATCTGCATCTGTGGACCCCCTCTGACTTCAGCAGGGCTTTGTATTGGCACAGAGATGTGCCTGCAGTAAAGCTCATTGCAGGAGTGAGGTCTTCCCACTGTCCAATGAGTGGACCCCCGTTGTATTCACTGCACAATGTCTAAACTGCCTAGAAAAGGCTTGTCTACATGAGGACTCTCAGGATTGTTAAAATGAATCTATTTATCCCTTTGAAGGATTAAGCTACAGCAAACTAAAGTCACCTCACTTTTGAATGAGAGCATCCACACAGAGATATATAGACAAGCTCTGAGTGTATTCTCACTTACATATGTTTAAATTCAGAGCAAGTCCATTGTCCTCAGGAGATTTACTTTACATTTGCGCTGTGGCAACTACAAACATAATTAAGCCCAAACTTATTTGTATTTTAAAATTACAATGCAATATTATAAAGTGGAACAGTCATGTATTATATATTTATGTAAAATATGGTGTGCATGTGTGTTTTGGACTATATTTTATGTATACTGATAAATGTTCTGTTTAATGTGTAACTAAGTAGTTTCAGTACAGAGAATTCTGGAGTCAGTTTAATCTGATGATGCAAACAATGCTATTTAGTGTTAACTCATTGAGCTTGTTTGTAATAACCATACTGGATTCACAGGCTGTCCATCACAATCAACCCATCTATGAAGCAACATGCAGAACTCTCTGTAATTCCTAGGGAAGCCCTTACTTCCATGTCCTTATTGATTTTCCTTTTCTGTGATGATGAGCATCAATGTTCTTATGTTTCCGGGGGGGGGAGGGGGGAGGAAATAATTCTAAAAAAGCCAATGTTATCCTCAGTGTCTATAAACAAGTATTTCTACCAAATATCCTTCTAGAATTAGGATTCTAACAAAACACATTTTTCCACAAAATTTTGTTACCTTTACTTTTGCTCAAATTAGATCTGCTTGATTTGTATACATGCTAGATTTTCCGGAGTTATAAGATGTTAAAGACACACAACTATTTTTTACTGGTCCTCCAAAGACCTGGAAGAACTAAGTCTCAGTGATTTGTATTTTTTTATACTATGTTGATGTAATATCATTCTTGTCCTCATTAATTACAGAATTGTTTTAGCAGTAGCTGGGAGGAAATTAAAGATCTTTAGATTTTTGTTCTTTGCTGTGAATCAAATCCTGAATGCAAGGAAAGTGGTGTAACCACTGCCTAAAAATGTGCTCATGCACTGCAAAACCAGCATTAATATGTGCCCTAATTCTGACTGCAAGCACTAGGTATGGAATATACTCGCTTTGTGTGTGTGAGTGGATGATATTCTCATGTAATGGCTGGTCCGCAAAGAGGATAAGGACCTACCACTCCAGAGTTCCCCCTTAGCTGAATCTGTGGTAGTTTTTTGAAGCTGAAGGACCAGGTTTCTGTTCCCAGTTCCTCAGAATGGGGGCAGGGTTATTATACAGCAATTGTCTGCTGTCTCCAGCACATGGATTTATCCCTAGTGTCAGAATAATCCTGATGGGAGTTGTGAGTAGAGACTGTTCCTGGGACAGGGAGTGTGTGTGTGCATTAACATGCAACCCTTAATACTGTCTTCTATAGCATGATAGCAGCATCCTGTTTAAGTTAGATTTTGCCACTGCTGGAGTAGCCAGTCTGAGTTCCGAGCTCCCACTGCTGCCTTCTTGGTTTGATTTACACCTGTGCACATTGTCTGTCAGAATCGGGCTCTGTATCTACAGGGGGTGGGGTGGGAAATTTTGAATTGTTGTTGCATTACAGAAAACCATTCAGAAAAAAGTACTTCCAATATTCATATCTATGAGACTGTTACAAGTCTGATATTCTGTTCCCCTAGAAATAGGAGCTGTATTCACACAAGTCTGTCTCTATAGGAAGATACAGTATATCCTGTCGAGCTCACAAGTGGCTGATGGTACAGAAGCACAAGGTCTCCTCTAGGAAGAATGCTTGTTTGCATGTTACCGGTAGAACTGATTTGAAAATTTCTCTTAAAATAAAAAAATTCAACGCAAATTCTTTTTTTGAAAATGTTTAGTTATTTTGTTTTCTAACCAGCTCTAATTACCAGTGAGAGAGATGTAATTATTTTATTGGGAAATATAGTCACTGTGGAAATAACGGAGCAATGTAGCTCTTCCTACCTATTTGCACATTCATATATGTATATAACATATTATTGACCCCATAAAGATGTGATCTGAAAATCATTGTCATTCAACTCGTTTTAAAGAGCTGAGACTGGGTGATAAAAAAAAATTCCCAGTTTTTGAAGTCGATTGAAATCTAAAGTTATTTCCTTGCAATAAGTGAACACTATCTGAAATATGAAAGCTAATGTATCTTTCAACGTATTTTCATGCCGTATATGCAGGTATTTTAAAACAGTAATAATTAAAATCTTCCTTCAGATTCTTCTACATAATTCTGAGCTAGCCAAACATAGTCACATTAAAACCTCTTTATAAGTCTCTGCCATAGTAGTTTTAAGACACTTGATTGCTAACAGAATTAGAGAAAAGAATTTACATTAATGCGAAGAAATACGCTTCTGAGGGCATGTGTAAAAGTTTATACTTCAAAGAACGGCAAATGCACTGAACTGAAGAATACTAGACTCAGTCATGTGTTGGATTGTGGAATGATTCATATACCATGCTGAGCTTTTAAGTATTCTGTCTATTGTTGATGGTAGGTTTCCAAATTGTAATCATATGTTTCTCTTTTTTGTTGCAGCTGGTCTCCAATGTTCTCATCTTCTCCTGCACAAACATTGTAGGAGTGTGTACGCATTACCCAGCAGAGGTGTCTCAAAGACAAGCATTCCAAGAGACCAGGGAGTGCATTCAGGCCAGGCTACATTCTCAAAGGGAGAACCAGCAACAGGTACGAAGGAGAGTGACAAGAAATTTGAGAATGGGACTGCTGATTTGGAATTAGTCTGAAAATTGTTAATTTAGGGCCAGGTACTGAATGACCCTGTGTGAAAATGCATCGCGGATGGCAGGGCAGGATTTGGGAAGGTGGAGAAGAGAGCTCAGAGGAACCTTTTCACTCAGCTACCGTTATAGACCAGTGTTCGGGGTGCCAACAAAATCCTGCTGCCTGTGCTCCCTGTATGAAATTCACCCTAAGCAGAGGATTTGCACGGTGTTATGCACCATTTAAGTCCCATCTAAGCCTATCTTGAGCACGAGTGGCATATGGGCCTTGTGCTGGCCCTCTGAACAGGGTGTATACTTCACTCCATCATAAGTGCACAGCATGATGATTTGTCAGCACAGCAAACAGCATTTGGTAGTGGTTGGGCTGTTGTTTGGCTCTTCTGCACACATTAGCAGCTGGAGGCCAATTGTGGCAGAAATTAAGTAGTTCCCCATAGAGGGTGCTGCCCCAGTGCCTCCAAAGGCATTCTTCTATCTGTCTCTAGAGCATCCTCACTTCACATCGTGTGTGTGGCTTTGAACACAACACTACAGGCTTCCGCTGACTTACATTTTAGTTTTTAACCATTTTTAATGTCCTCACTTAGTGTTTGTTACAAAAAGGCCTAATTGCTATCAGCACACAGCCTTGCTCTCAAGGGCTGTGGGCATATCTATTTGCTAATACATTCTTTGGTTTTGCTACAATGAGTCTCTTACATCATAATAATTAGAGATGAAAAAACTTTTTAGGTCAGCTTGTCCATTCCCTTGATAATGTGGGACCATGCCCTGCAGTAAATTTTCCAGTCCAGTTTTAAATAACTCATGAAATGAGGTTTCTGTGGCTTCCCTTGAGAAGTACCTTACAGTTTTGATTGTGAGTTCAGATAGGAGGGGAATGAATCAGTTGAAATGGCTGTGCATTTCTGTGAGTCAGAAGGGCAACACAACTTTCACTATACTGCTCTGCCTTAGCGCACCTGCATCTGTAGCTCTGGCCATGGACAGTGTTATTCTGGGCTACTTTTGGCCAACATGGGCACCATGAAATGAAGTATGTATGTATACCTAAGCATATTTTATTTATTTTGACATCTGGTACATAAAGAGCATCCATTTCATGCACTAAGTGTAGGGTTGCCAGTAGTCTGGTTTTCGACTGGTATGCCTGGTCGAAAAGGGATCCTGACAGCTCCGGTCAGCACCGCTGACCAGGTCACTAAAAGTCTGGTTGGCGGCGCAGCAGGGCTAAGGCAAGTTCCCTGCCTGCCATGGCTCCGCGCAGCTCCTGGAGGCAACGGCATGCCCCCAACCCTCCGGCTCCTATGAGTAGGGGCAGCCAGGGGGCTCCACACACTGTCCCCACCCCAAGCGCTGGTTCTGCAGCTCCCATTGGCCAGGAATTGTGGCCAATGGGAGCTGCAGGGGCGGTGCCTGTGAACGGGGCAGCACGCAAGGCTGCCTGGCCATGCCTCCGCATAGGAGCTGGAGGGGGGACATGCTGCTGCTTCCAGGAGCTGCCTGAGGTAAGTGCTGCCCTGAGCCTGCATCCCTGACCCCCTCCCCAGGCTCCAACCCCCAGTCCCAGCCCTGATCCCCCTCCCACCCTCCGAACCCCTCGGCCCCAGCCCAGAGCACCCTCCTGCACCTCAAACTCCTCATTTCCAGCCCCACCCCAGAGCCCGCACCCCCATTTGGAGCCCTCACCCCAATCTCCTGCCGCAGCCCTGATCCCCCTCCCGCCCTCCAAACCCCTCGGTCCCAGCCCGGAGCCCCCTCCTGCACCCCAAACCCCTCATCCCTGGCCCCACCCCAGAGCCCGCACCCCCAGCCGGAGTCCCCACCCCCTCCTGCATCCCAACCCCCTGCCTCAGCCTGGTGGAAATGAGCGAGTGAGTGAGTGTGGGAAGAGCGAGCGACAGAGGGAGGGGTGATGGAGTGAGCGGGGCAAGGGTGTTCGGTTTTGTGCGAGTAGAAAGTTGGCAACCGTAACTAAATGCCTTTTACACAAACTAAAAATACAGTCACAGTAAGATAAAACCAGCAGCCTCTCCTACCCCCAAATCCCCAATCTAGGAAAATGTTTTACCTACAAATGCCAGATGTCAACAAGCCTCTCCCTCCCACAAAACCCTGGCAAACAGATGGGCTTTGCAGCATGCCCTGAAGTTTGGGCTGCTTTAGATCAGGCTTTGCAAAGTCAAGAGGCCCTCATGGAGAACGCCCTGTTAGCAGATCCCTCCCTTTTAAACCGAGGGGAATCCAGCTGGAATGTCTCCCCAGACTGTAGTTATGATGCATGGCGGGAGAGGCAGTCCAATTTATAGGTCAAAAATAGAAACCCCATTTCATGATTTTAGAGGTTTATAGGTCAAAAAACAACAGCTTAAGCTCCACCTAGAAACCCACCAGCAGCCAGTGCAGGCCCTAGAATGCTGGTGTGGTCTCACAGCAAGATAGTTTGTTCAGTAAGTTTGCTACTTCATCCTGTACTGGCACTGATTTCCCAGTTCGTTTAAGGTGTATCCCCTGTAAAATGCATTGCTGTAATCTTGTCTTCAGGTGACAAGACATGAATCAGTCTCCAGACTAGGCATAGGTAAAAAATATCCATCCAGGCCAACTGCTGCTATAAGATTATCTAACAGTATCTGGGGAATCTGACAGTACTATCACATGCTGTATGGGAGAGAGGTCTGGGTAAGATGGAATGCTTGTCTCTCTCAACAGCTGAAGTTGGTCCAATAAAAGTTATTACCTCACCCACCTTCTAGTGATTTCATTATCCACTATAACCTGGCGAGGAGTAGTAAGTGAGGTTAGCATTACTGGAATGGAATAAAGAATTCTTAGCTGAAATTGCGCACCCTAAACAACCTCCAACAAGTGTGTATTTTCTAAAGATTAGAGGAAAGGACTTAAAGTCAGGCCTACAGGCTTCTACTTCCAGCATTACTAATTTTTTGACCATGAACAAGTCACTCGCCCTATCTGTCGAACAGGTATAATTATTTTATTAATACCTATTTCACAAGCAGGTTCACAGGTTTAATTAATTACTCTTTGTAAGTGCTTTGAGATTATCCCTAGCTAGTAATATAGGTATGTTAGCTAGTTATACATAGCTGGAGAGTGAGAGAGAGATCTATCTGTAATTCTGTATCTTTATCTAGTATATCTTTGTATAAAAATCAAGGAAATGTATATAATTTGTACTTATTTCTCTCCTCCTGTTTGACTACTGCCAACATAAGTATAGCAAGGCAATACTATTCGCCTGGCCAATACATGCTGAATGATATTACAGTTAGGGTGGCAATGTTTCATTAGAGATCTCAGTGAAATTTAAAGCTAGATACTAGTTGTGTTGTGTTTTATTGTGTATATTCTTAACCAGTTACATAAAATGAAGGTGTCTAACTGGTACCAGTAAATTGTATTGAACTGTGCTTAGATTAGTTATTAAATGAAGGCTATTACTACTCCATGTATTTGTATGAGATGGCAAACTATATCTGGGTAAGTGTAACCTGTTCATTGGTTGATGATGATGCTTTGTGCTTTCCATCTGAGGATCTCAAAATACTTCAGAAGCATCAATAGATTGAGCCTGACAAAATCCCTGTGATGTAGGGAAATATTAGTATTCTCCTTTCACAGATGGGGAAAGTAGACAAATTAAAGAACATTCTGAAAGTTGCCTAGGAAGTCTGTGGCAGTGCCAATAACATAGCCTTGGTCTTCTGATCACCATAGTGGTGCTGTAAGCACAAGATCATCCTTCTGCACTTATGGACCTACGGAGAGCGTCACAAGCCCATAAGACGTCCCTGGGTTAAGGAGTAGAGCTTTAAAAATACCTGATTTTTTTTATTTGCCCACTGATGTGGAAATAATAAAAAAAATTACAACTTTTTGATGAACCAAAAAGTTGAAAAAAATCTGGATGGGGTTGAGTGAAATGATTTCATTTTGTTATTGAGGGTTTTTTTTTTTTTTTTACATTTTTAAATAAAATTGAAGAAAATTTACAAATGAAAAGTAGTTTCAAATCAAAAAATTAAAACATTTAATTTTGAAAATATTGGAACAAAACTTCAATTTTTTTAAGTGAAAGAATTGGGCGAATTCAACACCAATTCACAAAATGTATTGATCAACTAGAAACTGCATTTTTTAGCCAAAAAAGAAAAAGGTTTTGCCAAAAAAATTTGCCCAGCTCTATTAAGGAGTTTTTATTTGGCTCTCTGAGTTATCTGACAGATGTGTAAAATTCAATGTAGGATTAGCAGCTTCTGCACATCTGAGGGTGTCCATTACAATTATTAACTGAGAGGCAATGGTGTGTGCACCAATGTGCCTTGGTTATTCCAGTAAATATATGAACTATATTGTGCTTTTGTGCTCATGACATACATTAGTGTCAGAAGCGCAAGTATAACTGATGTGAAAATAGCTAAAGTTTCTTATTTTGATATTCAAGCACACCGGCACAGATGATGCAAACCTCTTTTATTATGTATTTTCAAGGACCGCAGTACCTTCTCTCAGCTGCTACAGTTTTGAGCTGTGCCTGATAGTGATCCCTCATAAATTTTGTTCCATATTATTGGTACAGATGAAGGGACTGGAGATGGGAATCAAGCCCTGACAATGTACATTAAAGGACAGGTAAATACAGTGCAACACTATGCATTGTAAAGATTTCTCTAGTGAGTGCATTGCACATATTATCAACAAGTTTGCTCTCTTACAGTTCCCACAGAGTTTGTTATGCTGTACTTGGACACAAGTAAATAGGCAACAGTAAGACAAAATATGAATTAAAAACCAGAATTGTGTTTTATAATGGAATGAACTATGGAAAAGAGGGTTTTTAATGGTGATGTGAGCAATTAGTACAAGAGCATTGACCCCTCTGAGTCATGATTGCAGTTTGATCTGTGGAGTTCTGTGTTTTTAGGAATTAATGATCTATTGAATAAGGTTATGGACCTTCATTTAGACTAGATTATGATTGTGTGGTTGGTGAAGGGGACAATTGCTTTCCTCCATGCTATGTAGTAGCAATTGTCATGCAGGAAAAAGAGATGGTATGGACTGGTAGACTGTATAAATCGTTGTGATTCTACAGTGTTGTCAGAACATCTTGCCTCTTGCCTACTGATTAGACTACATTTGAGTTGGACCAACAAAATAGATGTCCATATTTTAATCTGCCTTTTTCTTGTAGAAAAAAATTCCTTAAACTAAAAAATTTTTGAGGTGAAATCAGAAAATAAAAGGCAAATAAAGGATTTAGGCAAAACCGTATTGTATCTGGTCTAATGCTAACTACACACACAAAACACCAGCATGCATACACATGCAGATTTACATTCTGCAACTTCTGCATAAAAATTACTACCAGATTTAGGCTGATCACAGGCTACATAGATGGCCAGGTCACAGAGGCTTTTCTCTGATATTTAGGAAAAGTTGTCCCACTCCCATCAGTTGTAATGTGACATAATAACTCACTTTCTTAAGGTACAAAACTAGATAGCGAACAACATACAAAGTAATTTTATGAAAGCTACACTGAGCCCATTTTAATCTTTAAAACACAAAGATATTACAAATAAACAAGGATGCACCTTAGTTGCTCAGGATGAGGGTAGAGAGATGTGAATTGTGGGTGATGGAAGGTAGGTAATGGAGGTAATGTCACTGTATGTATGTATGTATGTTTACTGTGCCTTATGCAACTGGGCCCCAATCCTAATTGAGGTTTTCAGGTGCTACTGTAAAATTACTACTAATAGTGTGTTTACTCCTGGGGGAATTCTGCACCACTGCGCATGTGCAGAATTTATGTCCCCTACAGATTTATTTGCTTCTCCGCAGAAAAATGACTTTCTAATGGGGAAGCAAAGGGAAGCCACAAGAGCAGTCATGTAACCCTCCCTAGCAGTATGTTTTGGGTGCCCAAGGTTGCCGGCAGATAGGTAAATAACTGTGGTGTAGGAAGTGGGACTGGGGAAGACCGAGCTGGTGGCTCCTCCCTGCGCTGGGCTTAGCTGCTAGTCCCTGCTGGGCTGGGGAGGACAAGACTTCCTCTTCCCCTACACGGCATCCAGGTCTGGGTCAGACCCACCCCCAGATTTTTCCCCGGGCTGCAGGAAGCTCTGCAAACTCCCCACCTCCAGCCCGCTTCCTGCACCCATTGCTCCTCAGCTGCAGGGGGAGGGATCCCTGTACAGGGAGCTGCTCTCCCATCCACCCAACCCCCGTGCATCCAGACCCCCTCATACCCAGACCCTCCCGCCGAGCCTCACCTCCCCCCTGAAATCAGAACCCCCCCGATGAGTCCCACTCCCCCTGCATGACCCCACCAAGCCCCAACCAGCTGCACCTGGATCCCCACCCCACTGAGCCCCACTCCCCCAGCATCTGGACCCCCACTGAGCCCCCCACACCCAGACCCCCCTGCTGAGCTCTATCCCCACCAACACTGAGCCCCAACCACCTTCACCTGGACCCCCCTGAAGAGTCCCATTACCGTTGCACCCAGAACCCCCCCACACACAAGCTCCTGAGCATCCAGATCCCACCCACACCTGATCCCCCACTGAGCCACCCGCACCCAGATTGCCCCACACAGAAACCTCTCAACCCACACCCGGATCCCTCCACACTTGGATTCTGCCTGCCCACTCCTGGTGCACCTGGCATGGAAGGGCAGGGCCCTGGGGTGTGTCTGGGCCAGGCCCGGTCCTTGCGCTGTGTCAGGGTTGGGTGCAGCCTCACTGCTGAGTCCGTGTCCCTGGGGGGAGCTGCACAGTGATCTCCCACCACTGTGCAGCCAGTGGCCTGTGCTCCCCAGTGCCATGCTGGAGCCTCCACATTTATTTGACAAATAACATTTTCAGGATTTTTAATTGGGGGGGGGGGGAATTTTTAATTTGGGGGGGGCCGAATTTTTTATTCTGGGGCAGCCGAATTTTTTATTCTGGGGCGGCCACATTTTTTATTTTTTTGGTGCAGAATGCCCTCAGGAGTATGTGTTGTACAATTGGGCCAAATTCTCCTGCCAGTTATATTGGTGCAACCCTTCCCTGCCACGGAGAACCCATATTGCTTGTAGTGAGGAACGTTCCCTTTGTGAGTTAGATTGTGCTCTGCCTGTTGCAGGTTAGTGAAGTAAAATGAGACTCTTAAATGGATTTCAGGGGAATTGGGAAATCAGTCCTGTAGCCTTATGCCCAACAGAGAACCCTGTAATGATGCATGGTTTATATAATGAGACTTCCAAGTCTACATTTTTACATGAGGCTTTGTTACTCTTGCTGCCTGGGAATGTGTTCAGCTAGTAATACTGCTCTTTAAAGAGCCCCTCAGTACTTTGCAGTGACTGCTGGTCTATATAATGAAGTCCTGCTGCTTTGGAGCCCCCTACTGGAATGCAAACTTGTGTACTATACAGACTTGGGCACTGAAGCAGCTGCCTCTATATGGCTCCTTCATCTGGAAGAATCTGCAACTGTGGATAGCATATATAGTGGATCTGGCATGAAGGTTAATTTACTTTCCCTTTGATATTGTGTTCATATTTTTCTGAGTGGGACAGGACCCCGGTGCCTTGATGGCAGAACTGGTTGCTGCATTTATGGAGACCATTCCTCTTGCTTTTGCTCATCAGTCACTGAACTGATGGCTTCGTTTCTCTCCGATAAGAAACAACGTGCGTTTGTTAACTGGGAAGCAGGTGTTTTAATTGGTTCATCTGTCTGACTCAACAGGAGCGGCTCCTGCTCTCTGTACTTCCTCGTCACGTTGCTATGGAGATGAAAGCCGACATTAATGCCAAACAGGAGGATATGATGTTTCATAAGATCTACATCCAGAAGCACGACAATGTCAGGTAAGAACTGCTGACTGAATCCCAGCTGGCAATGGAAGTGGGGGGCCATACTGAGCCCCACCTCTTAGTTACAGAGAATTAAAGTAGCAGGTGGCAGGGACACACAATCCAAAATAAATAACAGCTAGAAAATTGAATTAAAAAGCAACACCAACAAACATCAGTGAGTTTGTGTGTGGGATAGGATGGCAGCGTCCTCTGTATCTGCAACAACTTTCTTTCAGGAAGTAGTTTCTACTATATCCCTCTTCCAAGAACTTTTCCTAGAATCCTTCACTCTTTTTAGAAAGGTGCTGGGGAGTCACATATTGTTTGGTTGCTTGTTTAATTATCGAGTAAACCATCCCAGTTACCCCAAATTGCACTCCTTTCTGACTTGCAGCACCTGGGTGAAAAAAGAACTGCAGAGTCAAATTGCTCTTAAAATGACTTGACTATTCATCACTAGCCTTAAACAACAAGCTTTGTACTCAGTGAGAACCAACTCCTAGCAGCTACTCCGTTAACAGACAGCGCACCCGTGTTCCACAGCTCCCTGGTCTGGCCCTTTAGAGAAGGTCCCACAAGAAACAGGCACTGAATCTATGGCAAGCAGTGCACAATCAAATACAATGTTTGTATTGCTGAGAGGAAGCCCAGTCTTGCAAGTTTCTAAGCACCCTCACTCCCATTGATTTCAAGGAAAGCTGGGGTTCTTCATCACATCATGTGTTTGGGCTTTTTGTGAGTACTGGGAGATACAGCGGCAGCCTGGCTAGCAAGAGAGGACCGCTTGGCATCGATTCATGTGTCTGGGAGAACAGAGAGGGGATGAGAAGAAATATTAATTTATCTTGCCATTTTTAAAGGAGCAAAATCTGATGCCCACGGGATGTGGATGAATAATTTAATTTTGATGTGACTTATCTCTGCTGCAGTTATAAACCTGTGTGGGGTTATTTTGGCCTTCATTGAGCCAGACTCTGAAGTGGTTTGGGTAGCTTTCCTCCAGCCATGACGCTAGATAAACTACGGAACCTTCCCTCTCATCAATGCCCCACAGGGTGGATTATATATGTTACTCAAATGAGACCGTTTTTCCCAACAACTTGTGTGACATGCTTTACTACCCTGATTTGTGTTTGGGATCCAATGCAACTTATAACCTGATACTTGGTAACCAACAAATAAAATTAAAATAGGTTTACTGTGTCTCTAATTTATGTACTGTCCTTCTGTGATTAGTAATTTATTACTATTTGTGTTACCATGGCACCTGGGAGCCCTTAGCCATTGCGGTAGGTTCTGTACTAATACTAATAGTCCCTGCCCCAAAGAACTTGCAGTCCCATTCTTTGATTCGAGACAGTAAAACACATTTAACATATTCAGACTTGTCAAAGCAGTTGAAAGCAACGACAAGCTGATGTGTCTGTAGCTGTAAAAAGTATAACAGGTGACTAGAAAATGGCAACAAATGGAACATTCATGTGAAAAGCCCAGTGAAATCAGTGGGAGACTTTCCATTGAATTTAATGGTCTTAGATCAGGCCTCTGTTTTTGATTGTAACGTGGACATATCAAATGGTCTGGTAACTGATATCCATGCATGGGTAGGATGTAGGACAAATGTTTAATCAGCTATGAAAGGCTACAACCTTTAATGATGTAAAAGTAAATTATACAGCTTTGAAATGAATGCAGATTTTTATGGTAACTGGTTTAGTGATTTTAAATCAGAAGAAGTATATTACATCAACACAGTACTCGTAACAACATGAGCTACTGCATTCTTTATGTATACCATTTTTTCCTATTCAATTTGTTTGGGAAGAGTTTGTAACTTCAGTGTGATTGGATGGTGGTCACAATTTCTCTAGAAGAAAAATGACTTCTTGTCAGTACCTAAAAGTTGACTTGATATTTGAATAGCATGTGACTAGTTGTACTAGAGCAGCGGTTCTCAAACTTTTGTATTGGTGACCCCTTTCACACAGCAAGCCTCTGAGTGTGGACCCCCCCCCCCTTATAAATTAAAAACACTTTTAAATATATTTAACACCATTATAAATGCTGGAGGCAAAGCGGGGTTTGGGGTGGAGGCTGACAACTCACGATCCTCCCTGTAATAACCTCGCGACCCCCTGAGGACTCCCGACCTCCAGTTTGAGAAAGCCCTGTACTAGAGGAAGCAATACAGGACAGCCACATATCATCATATTGGGTAGTATCAAACCAGCTTTATGTGATGTTGCAATTCCTGGATTTGGAATAGAGGACCTGCAAATAAAATCATATTTATGAAGATTTGATTGTCTTTTTAGGACAATAATTCATCTGAAATGTTGTTGTTTATTATAGAAACCTTCCTAAAATAACTGGGAGAAGCTTAACTGTTCTTTCCTCTTTATTTCATTGAAACCATATTACATAAAACTGGGCTGAGATAAAATATCTAGGGGTAAAGTGTATCTTCAGTATGTACTCTTCTTAAACAATCAAAAATAAATTCTACCAGAGTTAAAGGATAAAATAGAATACTGAGTTCCGTTAGTAATTTATAGGGTCACAATGAGCAAATAAAGGTAGTCATTACACTTGAAATTATATAATGCTAATAGTTCTCTCTTCAGCTCTAAAAACTGATTAGAATTTTTCAGATAAGTCATACTTAATATGATGACTTCGTCAGCTGAGGAGGTGTAATAGCTTATTTCAAATGAGATGAGACAATAACGGATTCAAAGGAGATATTTGCTAGTCCTTGAGTAAGAGGTACTATAACAGATATGCACCGCCTTAACATCCAACCAGGAATTGGATCCAAGGCAGAGGTTGCCCTCAATCCATGTATCATGTGTTTGATATGAAATGATGAAACCTTTATTAGAGTTTCTTGAGAGTCTCTAGGCAACAAGTTAACAAAGCTAGAAACAGAGGATAGCTGACTTAATATACAATTTGCTCTTAGTGATTTGAAACTTGTACAAGAAGTAATTACAGATGTTATTGCAGCTGCTATTAGAGAGGTTTAGAAGATTGTTCCATATTTTCCTGATTGTTTTCTTCCCTCTTTGGTCTATGTATTATGAAGAAGGGTCTCAAGGCAATTTTTCCCCCACGCAAAATGAGCACCCCTCAGTTCAGATAGAGCATTGTGGTATTTGTGTAATATATAAAAAGCAACAGAGAGTCCTGTGGCACCTTTAAGACTAACAGATGTATTGGAGCATAAGCTTTCGTGGGTGAATACCCGCTTCGTCAGACACATGTAATGGAAATTTCCAGAGGCAGGTATAAATATGCAGGCAAGAATCAGTCTGGAGATAACGAGGTTAGTTCAATCAGGGAGGGTGAGGTCCTCTGCTAGCAGTTGAGGTGTGAACACCAAGGGAGGAGAAACTGTTTTTGTAGTTGGCTAGCCATTCACAGTCTTTGTTTAATCCTGATCTGATGGTGTCAAATTTGCAAATGAACTGAAGCTCAGCAGTTTCTCTTTGGAGTCTGGTCCTGAAGTTTTTTTGCTGTAAGATGGCTACCTTTACATCTGCTATTGTGTGGCCAGGGAGGTTGAAGTGTTCTCCTACAGGTTTTTGTATATTGCCATTCATATTGAAGTTTAGAAATAGACAAATATAGACAAGTTGATAAATATTCAAATATCCTAACAGCATGTATGATCCTTTAAATAGATATACATATGTAAAAATATAACATGGCACATTCCAAAGATAATCTTCACTTTGCCTCTCTCGTTGAGTCCACAGAGTAAATTCCTGAAAGGTGCTGAGTTGAAGGCACTCAGCACCTTGTAGGATCAAACATCTTAGAGGGTAAACTCTTCCGGTCATGGACCTTGCCTCCTCCATGTTCAGTAGAATATTAAGGATCTTTTCCAAAGCCCATTGAAATCAATGGAAAGACCATCAGTCACTTCAGTGGGCTTTGACTCTAGCCTACACACGATCGGTATTTAAAAGATAGTAACTAGAAAAAGTTACAAAATAAATCGGTTTTCAGAATGGAGAGAGGTAAATAGTGGTGTCCCCCAGGGGTCTGTACTGGGCGCAGTCCTATTCAACATATTCATAAATGATCTGGAAAAAGGGATAAATAGTGAGGTGGCAAAATTTGCAGATGATCCAAAACTACTCAAGATAGTTAAGTCCCAGACAGACTGCAAAGAGCTACAAAGGGATCTCACAAAACTGGACGACTGGGTAACAAAATGGCAGATGAAATTCAATGTTGATAAATGCAAAGTAATGCACATTGGAAAACATAATCCCACCTATACATATAAAATGATGGGGTCTAAATTAGCTGTTACCACTCAAGAAAGAGATCTTGGAGTCATTGTGAATAGTTCTCTGAAAACATCCACTCAATGTGCAGAGGCAGTCAAAAAAGCAAACACAATGTTGGGAATCATTAAGAGAGGGATAGATAATAAGACAGAATATATCATATTGCCTCTATATAAATCCATGGTACATCCACATCTTGAATACTGCATGCAGATGTGGTTGCCCCATCTCAAAAAAGATATATTGGAATTGGAAAAGCTTCAGAAAAGAGCGATAAAAATGATTAGGGGGATGGAACAGCTTCCGTATGAGGAGAGATTAATAAGACTGGGATTTTTCAGTTTGGAAAAGAGACGACTAGGGGGATATGATAGAGGTCTATAAAATCATGACTGGTGTGAAGAAAGTAAATAAGGAAGTATTATTTACTCCTTCTCATAACACACGAACTAGGAGTCACCAAATGAAATTAATAGGCAGAAGGTTTAAAACAAACAAAAAGAAGTATTTCTTCACACAATGCACAGTCAGTCCGTAGAACTCTTTGCCAGAGGATGTTGTGAAGGCCAAGACTATAACAGGGTTCAAAAAAGAACTAGATAAGCTCATGGAGGATAAGCTCATGGACCCATCAATGGCTATTAGCCAGGATGGGCAGGGATGGTGTCCCTAGCTTCTGTTTGCCAGAAGCTGGGAATGGGCGACAGGAAATGG